AGATCATGCTTTTGAGTACTATCGACTGATTTTGCTGGATTTTTGTCATGAAATCGCAATTTTTTGCAATCTTAAATGAATCTATGATAAAGTATACTCTTCTCTCTTTCATTTACGATGTCAAACGTTTAAATATCTCCGCCGGAAAGCGCCGACAAATTATTTTGGAGCAACTACGCTCCAATTTGTTTCTTTCTTTCTTTCTTTCTTTCTTTCTTTCTTTCTTTATTTCTTTCTTTCTTTCTTTCTTTCTTTCTTTCTTTCTTTCTNTCGGAATCTTCTACAAAACTTTATAAATTCAGCATAAAGTACAATCTTTTAGCTTTTATTTGCGATACAAAATGTTTGAAAAACTTCACGGCAAAGTATCGAAAAATTATTTTGAAGNAATCTCCTCAGCAATCATCTGTAACCTTAAATAAAAAATTACATCAAGAAGTTTCTTATGAAGACATTTTAACAATTTCAATAACTGTGAAAGAAAAAATCAGAAGCGAGTTATTTTTACTGGCTTGATAGCTTTAAAAGATGTAACAAATCGAGTTATCTAAATCCTTTTAGATCTCAACAACGATTTTTTGCAATACAAAATATAATAAGAACATTTTAATAAAAAGATTATAAAGAAAACCTCATTTTGCTATTTACCTCTCTTTTCCTAAGAACACTTTATACTTCAGAATTTTTATCTCCAAAACTAATTATCGTACGGAGATGAACCTTTATTCAATTTAATCTATAGGATTTGATCTATCATAACAACTTTTTACAATAAAAAATATTATAAGAACATCGTAGTAAAAGATTATGAAGGATACCTCGTTTCACACCTTTTGCCTCTTTTCGTAAAAACACTTTGTACTTAAGAATTTCTATCTCAGAAACTAATTATCGTATTGAGATGAACCTTTCTTCAATTTAATCTATAGGATTTGATCTGTAACATCAATTTTTACGATAAAAATATTATCAGAAACTTCTAACAGAAAATTACAGAGGAAGCCTCATTTCTAAATTCTTTGAAATCTTTTCACGCTAAAACTATCGAACCAGAAACTCGCGGAATTCTGACTAAAAACCATTCCGCGTCCTCCCTGACTATCAGATTTAATATTCCCAAGCCACAAACTGTCGGGCTCCGTGTAGCAATCGTTCTGCACGCTTTCCGAAACAAGAAATACGAAAGACCGTGATTTCCGTTTCGATACACATATATCGGTATCATCGCGAACGTTTTTCATCGAAGCTCAAAATTTATCGCGCCGTTCCGGACGTAGACTCCACTTCGGCCTACCTAGTGACTTGTAAAATCGTGACTTTCACTCGGCCAACGAGGGTGCAACATCCTCCATGAATTTCCTCAACATTACCCGAATGGGTATTACCATGAAGAGATAGCATCGTTGACGATCTGCCTCGGAGCTTCCTTCTATCTGGATGAAAACCAGAGATCGATACGAAATCCTTCCCGCATTTTGTTTGCCCTTTTTGCGCGGATCGAACGCGAATATGGCCCCACTTTCTAGTCACCTGAGCGCGGGACTTCCTGCCTTTCGATTTATCCGACTTTTCCACCCACTTTCGTTCGCTTTTCAACGGGAACTCGGCCATTTCTATTCGGTGCGAGGAAGCTCGATCGCGCAAGCCCTCGTTATTATGCGAATCGAAATTATCGATTGTTTTGATTAAGTTCGATAAGGGGGCCGACATTCGCTTCGTCGAAGTAGGCTCAAAGATTTCGTCGAGGAAGATCTCTGTCGGAATGATCTGACGAAATGAAACGTGTCAAATATCGCGTTATTAGTTCGTAGATCCCTCGTGCGAAATAAAAATGCCGCGGGGCGAAATTGTAAAGAACAAAATTGGACGAAAAATGTGTTTTGTATTTTGTATAATTTCGCTGTATAATTTTCTTTTAAATGATAACTTCGAAAGAATTTTTCACTTGAACTATTCAACTTGTTACTTGAACTACTTAACTTGCTAACTATTTAACTATTTAACTTGTTAACTATTAAACTATTTAACTTGTCTACTACTTAAGTATTCAACTATTTAACTTGCTAACTATTTAACTATTTAACTTGTTAACTATTAAACTATTTAACTATTTAACTTGCCTACTACTTAAGTATTTAACTATTTAACTTGCTAACTATTCAACTATTTAACTTGCCTACTACTTAAGTATTCAACTATTTAACTTGCTAACTATTCAACTATTTAACTATTTAACTTGCTAACTATTCAACTATTTAACTTGCTAACTATTCAACTATTTAACTATTTAACTATTTAACTTGCTAACTATTTAACTATTTAACTTGCTAACTATTTAACTATTTACGTTACTAACTATTTAACTATTTAACTTGCTGACTATTTAACTATTTAACTATTTAACTTGTCTACTACTTAAGTATTCAATTATTTAACTTGCTAACTATTTAACTATTTAAGTATTCAACTATTTAACTTGCTAACTATTTAACTCGGTGTTAAATTAATAAAAACGTGTTATTTTCACAATCTTTAATTGTTTATAGCTCGTAATAGCGTTCACCGTTTTCAATGAAATTTCCAACATGCGCGCAAGTTATCCACAAAATGCAACCTTTAAAGTTCAATTATTCGTTCAAATAACCGATCCTTTGGTAAACTAAACCATCCAATATATCAAAATAAAATAGTTCAAGTAATTTCAAATTTGTTCCGTGTTAAAAAGTGTCCGAATATTTTCAGGACCAATTGTACATTATATTAACACTATTATTATATTCATAATTTTTTGAATTTCAAGTTGAACAATTAATCAAGGAAAGAAAATAAAAATCTTGAAAGCCGTCTTCCAACCCCTTCGACAAACCTAATGCCAAATTAGAATCTTAAAAGCTGTCTTTCTTTTGTCTCAATTTGATGAATTACGAACGAGATTGCTGCGCGTTTCGACGATCTTTTTTCGAAATCTGCCGTCGTTGATCCCCGATTTAGCAAGAACCATTAGGAAACCCGCAGCTATATAAAGCGTTCCGTTCATTGGACAGACGATCGATTGTGTGCGTTTCGCGTAATTTTCCAGCGCAATGGCGATGATCGCCGCGGAAAATGAAAAACGAAAGGAACACGCGGTTGACGCAACAAACTGACCGACAGTCCTCGTAAAAGGGAATCTCTCGTTCCCTCGGAACGACATCGGCTCCCACACGGTGTTGTCACACGTGACTGCGTTCCGCGATCACGCAGGATCCGAACAGATCCTTTAGGGCGATCGTGGATCACGCGTAGGAAGTTATTCCACTTGTTCTGTGCCGGCGAGCCGCGCCGCGCCGAGTCGCGCAGCGTACATATCCAACCATAATTCCGTCTACTTTTACCTCCGGTCGACCTTCGCGTTACGACTCACTTCTCCCATGAGTGACCGGCACGATTCCGAAGAAAAACGATTCTCCAATTATCCTGCTCGGGCGCGCGCACGTACACGCCGATGTTTATCTGATAACAGTTCCGGTCGAAGATACGTCAAATTGCATTGTCTTGCAACGACGCTGTTCCTAACATTGTTCTCTTATCGGCTGGACGTTAATGCCGTCCGCTGGAAAACCGTTGCCCGCGCCCACAAACAGCGAACGATATTTTTATAGCGATCCGTTTCACAGCGATTTCGGCGGGCACTGCCGAAAACCAACCCCTAAGATTCGCACAATGTCGAAATCATCGAATTAACCATCGGACTGCGGACCATTTTCACACGATATTTATAACAATTCCAAGCTTTATTTCACGATTTTTCGGATTCATTTCGAATAGAGAACTTTTCGAATTATTTGAATAAAGAATTTCACAAATTTCACGGATTTTTCGAATTATTTGAATAAAGAATTTCACGAACTCCGCGAATTTTTCGAATTATTCGAATAAAGAATTCTCGAATTATTCGAATAAAGAATTATTCGAACGAAGAATTATTCGAATAAAAAATTATTCGGGCGAAGAATTTTTCGAATTATTCGAAGGAAAGGTT